ATATTAAAAAAGTGGTAATTAAATTGGTGCAATGGGTGCATCAGGCTTAGTTTCTGTTTTAGCAAATTGCATTAATCTCTCAAATTTGACACTTAACCTTGAGTAAAAACAGTTTATTTGTTTTGGATTGTGATATTTTTAATTATAAAAACTAATTAAAAACAAGAAAGCTCTTTTTTCTTTTTATTTTTATTGCGCTTGCTTTTTTTTGTTCTTTCTTTGTTAATTTAATTAGCTCATCCTTTTATTTTCAAATTTTTTACTTTTATTATTAATTAATTAATCTTATTATTTCATCTTTTTTCTTCATTTTTTCCTTCGAATTAACTATTTTATGATATATTTTTTCTTCAATATTTAAAAAGTGATAATTATATTAAAGACGAAGGTGCATCAGGCTTAGGTTCTGGTTTAGCAAATTGCATTAATCTCTCAAATTTGACACTTGATCTTCGGTAAAAACAGTTTATTTGTTTTGGATTGTGATATTTTTAATTATAAAAACTAATTAAAAACAAGAAAGCTCTTTTTTCTTTTTATTTTTATTGCGCTTGCTTTTTTTTGTTCTTTCTTTGTTAATTTAATTAGCTCATCCTTTTATTTTCAAATTTTTTACTTTTATTATTAATTAATTAATCTTATTATTTCATCTTTTTTCTTCATTTTTTCCTTCGAATTAACTATTTTATGATATATTTTTTCTTCAATATTTAAAAAGTGGTAATTATTTTGGTGACGAAGGTGCATCAGGCTTAGGTTCTGGTTTAGCAAATTGCATTAATCTCTCAAATTTGACACTTAAACTTCCGTAAAAACAGTTTATTTGTTTTGGATTGTGATATTTTTAATTATAAAAACTAATTAAAAACAATAAAACTCTTTGAATTTATTTGATAGTTTTTATTTGATTTATTTTTTTATCTTTATTATACCACTATTGCTATTTTATTTATTAATTTAAGAAATATTTTTTAATTTAAAAGTTTATTATATTTTGATATTATTTAAGATTTACACAAATTTATTATAAAATATTAGCCAAATCAATGAATCATAAAAATTGAAAGTTATAAGCAAGTGTCTTAAATCAAAAAGATTAGTTGTCTTTAATTAATTATTCTGATTATAAAGAAATCACGAAAAAAACGATGAATAAATATTAAATGTTTGATTAATATTATATCAAATTTTGAAAAATTTTTTTAAATCTAAAATATAAACAAAATATATAGATTTTATTA